ATGATTTGGTCTCTCGAGAGATTCCTTTGGAGCTCCAGATTGAGATACTGACTAGATTTCCTGCTAAATCACTTATGAGGTTCAAGTGTGTCTCAAAGCTCTGGTTTTCTCTTATACGTTCTCGATATTTTAGCAACCTTCGTCATACGGTCGCACCACCAACTCAACCACCTCGTCTATACATGAGTTTGATGGAGCACCTCATCGCGTGTGATTCAATGGAAGTCTGCCACAACCACGGAAAGACTCTACTAGTTTCACTAACATCATCGTCTAATAATGGTTCTGAGTCTTTCGACCAAGATTTGACTATGACAGGTCTAGGAGGACAAGACATGGTTGTTCTTCGTGGGTTGATTCTATACAAGGTTTGCAGAAAGGCGTGTATCTATAATCCCACCACCAGACAAAGCTTAACCTTACCAGCGGTAAAATCAAACATCTTTGGTCAAGAAGAACCACGTAAGTATGTCTACTACTTTTTTGGACACGATCATGTTCTTGATCAATACAAAGTAGTCTGCAATGTTATGATATGTTCGGAAGATTTTGAGATAGTAACATCAGAGCATTGGGTATTTGTGCTGGAAGTAAGAGGTTCTTGGAAAAGAATTAAGTTTGATCATGACCATCATATGCCTACAAGACTAGGACTATGCATCAATGGAGTTATATACTATTTGGCTGACACTAGGATATTAGAAGATATCGTTGTCAGTTTTGACGTTAGGTCTGAAGAGTTTAGTATGATCCAATCACCTGATGTAGTGTCTCAAACTAAGTATGTGGGGTTTATAGAGTATTGTGAAAAAACAGCTATTTTTTATTATACCCTTCTCAGAGAAGACGGTTCGGTGAACTTATGGGTCTTGGAAGATGGTGGGAAATGGTCGAAGAAATCTCTGGTTTTGCAGCTTTGTCAGATGCATTTAGTCAATAATGACATTGAATTGAAGGTGGAAGGTACAACTCGAAACGGCGAGGTTATCTTGGTACCGAACCCGTTCCATTCCCCTTATTACATTCTATATTATGATATGCAAAAGAATGATTTGAGAAAGGTTGATATCATCAGAGAAATATCAGACCACGGATCTCTTAAGACGTACAATAATTTGGCTCTTATGGATAAGAGTGAAAGCATCATGCACTTGGAAACTTGAATGCCATTACTTGGTTTTGTTTTTCAATGTTGGACTAGTTTGTTAACATGGAAGGATTTTTGAAAATTCTTAGAGTTATATAATTAACCATAATTTGGTAGTCGGAGAGGTTACTTACATACTTACATGTTTTGAATATCAAATCGCAGAACAAGTTTGCAAGGTGTGGCCAATCTAATGGGATTTAAGAGATTTCTCTTTGACTTTGTTCTCCATGAGTTCTCTTTCCCAACTAGCATGCGCAACATGTTACTATGCATTATAGATATTATTGGGCAAATATACATTTATTTAGCTCGTATGTGTAATCATGCATAGTACACTATAATTGGCGTAGCTACCAAACTTTCTTCCTACGCCATTTTGTTAAATAGTTCTCTACTCTTTTATATTCAAAACATCACTGAAGACATTTTGCTTAAGACGGTTTATTTCATACTCACATTATAATGGTTTACTCAATTTCTTCTCTAATGTTATTTATTCAAACCAACCTTTTTGAATTCTTTGTTAGTAAGTAAGACTTTTTTTTGAATTCCCTTGAAATGTTTTCCCATTCCTTTTCCCCAAGCCAGTCGAGTCCACACTATCCAAAAGTGTGCACCATTAAAATAAAATAAAATAATACATCAATATTTCTTAAATTCTCTATGATAAATTAAGATATATAAAAGAAAAGTTTTGATTCTTAACTTCCACAATTAAATACATATTTCTTACGCGGAGAAGGTGGGACGACGGTGCATTTGACCCACTGATTTCTTGATCACGTTCGTATAGATCACATGCCGAACATTATTGTTGAGTTGTTACATTGCATTTTATCATGCCTTATTTTGTGGGATTTCTTATTTTTTCACTCTCCTCGTGTTCTCCTCTTCCTCCCAATTATTATTTTAATCAATTTCCAATTCCACCAAAACTTTATTCTATACGTCATTAAAGGACCCACCAAAACAATAATTAATTTCAACACTTGCATAAGATATTTTTAGTAGAAAAAAATAATAAACCACAAAAGGCCAAGTGCTCTGCTCCGTACCGCAGAAGAAACAACAATGCGGTTATGTCGGTAAGCTATCTAAAAGCCATTTCAATTTATCTACCGAAACACTATACTTCATAATTTTTAATTTGTTTATTACAAATGATTTGAAGGTGAAAAAATATTCATCATCGAATATATATTTCGGTCATTAAACTACAAAATTTGATGACTAGCTTTTCATATTGTTAGATGGGAACCATTTCCTACAAATACAACAATTGGGACTTAGGACTATGTGATTATGAGCGATTACGTGATTATTTGATGGGATTGGTTTTGTTTATTGCCGACATTAGATAAAATAGTTGCCTAATTTTATTACCTATCAATTCATTTGAACATAAAAAACACTAGTGTGATCATTTGATTTGGAGAGTTATTTATGACCGTATCTGAATTCTGATGTTCGGATTTTGACAATGTTTATGTACAATCCAATAACCATTACTTCCTTATATTATAGATTACGGCTTGATTGGTGGAATTCCTCTTTCTTGCTCTTTTTGTGTCCCCTCCAGATTCAAACAAAACGACAAATGCTTATCTCTATTTGTATCCGATTATGCATTGATATTTCACGTTATGATATAGACCGACGTTGAGTGGACCCTGCCACGATTTTTTATATCAAAGAAATCCCAAAATATCACAAATCATTTCTAACTAATCATCTAGACTTTTGATTTGAGTACACACGTAATGGTACATTGACACTTACAATTTCACAACAATTTTTTATCAATCAAGTAATTATGCGATTCATGTTTTAATCTTATGCAATTTGGCACGTTTAACCACCATATAAAAATTACAAAACCACAAGGAATTAATTTAACCAATATGAACATATATCCCTAGATTTTTATTCATTTTTTATATTCCAATGCGTGTTACCAATAGTAACATAAACAAACCCTAAAAACAAATTGTACCCACTATAAATATTCAACCCCCAACTCTTTCCTCTCCACACACTCAAATATTATCTCACTTTCTCTCTCTCACAAGAAACACCAATGGCAAAACAATACCAAACTCTCTTCCTAATCCTCACAGTCTCATACCTCTTCTCGCCGGAGCTCACCGTCGCCACAGCAGCCACACCGACCGGAGTTTCCAAGAAAGCCGTAAACTTCATCCAATCATCTTGCAAAACCACCACATACCCAACCGTATGCGTCAATTCTCTCTCTTCGTACGCAAACGCAATCCAAACAAGCCCTAAACGTTTAGCCGAGACGGCTCTAGCTGTTACACTGAACCGAGCTCAATCCACTAAGCTCTTCGTCTCGCGTTTGACTCGTTTCAAGGGTCTTAAGAAGCGCGAGGTCGAAGCAATCAAAGATTGTGTCGAGGAGATCAATGATACTATAGACCGTTTAACCAAGTCGGTCCAAGAGCTAAAACTATGTGGTGTTGCCACAGGTAAAGAACAGTTTTCATTCCACATGAGTAATGCTCAGACTTGGACTAGTGCGGCTTTGACCGATGAGAACACTTGCTCGGATGGGTTTTCGGGTCGGGTCATGGATGGACGGATCAAGAACTCGGTTCGGGCTAGAATTGTTCACGTGGGGCAAGAAACCAGCAACGCCTTGTCCTTGATTAATGCATTTGCGAAAAAGAACTAATTATTATATGTATTACTACTTTATTCAAGAAATGTTTTTGTCGTATCTCAAATATATATATAGGTAATGTAATGTCTTGCTTCGAGTTTGATGTGGTATATTTCTCGATTTTGTTAGGTTTTTTTTTTTCTTTTATTCTTATGGGTTTAATAAATACTAGTGTTGATGTGTATTTTAAGTGATAAAGCTATATGAAAAGAATGAGTATTTTGGATGAATTGCCGTTAAAAGTGGTAGATTGATGGTACCTTTGATTTACCTTAAAGGTTAATTAAATAAAAATATAGACAAGTTGGCACAAATGTTTTGACAAATTTCCTTTTCACACCCATTACTTTCCTTGTGGCAAGTTGGGCACACTTATTTTGATGTTTCAACTCTAATCCCATAAAAAGAATAGTGGAAGAATTAAGATTGGCACAGAGAGTAGTACACTGTAATTTAATAGTATCAATAACGAGTTCTTTTTACAAAACTATTTGAAAATGTTGACAGCTATTCGTCTATTCCGACTATCATGTTGTTTAACAGTTTGAATTAATACCCGTTATTTATTAGATTTAAACATTATCAGTATTTGAAAACATTGTTTTTATCATTATAAAACAATAAATGAATTTGGTATTGATGTTAGAAGAAGTATACGAATTCTTCGTTTCGACCACATGGGATGTCTGATGGTAACGGTACGACTTATTGAAAAGCAATAACTGTCTGGGTTTGGTCCATGATTTTTGACAATGTTATCGCTTTGATTCTCTACCAATCGTATACACGTGTATAAGAAAGACATGCGGTGTATGCCAATTAGAAGGCCTAATCATTTATTGGTGTAAAGTTTTTCTCTGTGTTAAATGACAAAGTTTTGGATAAATATGCAATGATTTGGGGCCAAATTGGAAATCTTGAAAACGACCGTCGCCAGTAGCCACACATCCAGTTTCACCTACATTGATTACAAACTTACATTGCTCTTAAAACTAAGCTAGATTCTTATGTGTTTTTGTTTTCCACTGTTCCGAGTCATAACATTGTACAATTCTCAGCTCTCCACTACTGTATACCTTCTTCAGTAATAATATTATTTGCACCCACATTTACTTTTACTAGATCTCAGATTTAATATTTGCACCAAACTACGACAATTTTGGATTTTCGATGAGATTGCGAGCCTAAGTCACACTCAAAAGGGTTTACATATAGAAGAGCAGTAATACTAAGACATAGGTTAAGCGAGTATCTTCTCTTAGGACATATACCAAGACATAAGCGAGTTAATACCTAATATGGAATTACGATTTTGATGAAGTTGCTTAAAGCTATTTCCTTTCTGCCTACGTTCTGCACCTGAAAATCAAAACCCCAATTCAGTATATGTATCAAACTCCAAAACACTTGAAATAGTCAGATTTCTCCAACATTGTAAACGTTAGCCTATGACGTTGACTCTTAAGTTCCACTAGACTTCCAATAATGTATCTTGGTTAAGACTGGAAATCTCAAATCGAAAAGAAAAGAAGACGAGGCTTAATATACAGAAACATGGGAAACACTCACAATCATTAGAGTTCATTTCACTTACATTGATCTACGTTTGGGCTGCGAAGTTCCCCTGCTCTGCTTATAGCTTCAGCTTGAATCCCTTGGATAGAAAACCATCCCTGAGATTGAACATAAGATGTTTAAGTATGTTGATACATTTTACCATTTGTAACCCTTAACATATCAATGAAAGAAGATACCTAAGACACTATCAGATATCCATGTCTAAATTTGTTATCAATGACTCAAAATGAGTAAGAAAGCACTGGCTAGAGATTAAGCAGCTTACCCCCTTTTGTTACTCTTATACTTCTTTTTGTCTCCTCGAGCTTTGCCTTCTTTCTTGGGAAGATCTCCATTACATCCCAAAACAAGGCTGCTCACAAGGATTTCTGCGCTATACGGATTATCACAGTCCTTTATGCCAACCCTTGTAAGCGTCTTACTCTCCAAATCAAACCACATGAGATTCATCGCATTGTTTATCTCCATCAAGATCTTGGTCTTGTCCTTGGAATACATCAGAGGTCTCAAAAGCTCCAACGATTCTACATCATCCGGTTTCGGCACCCTAAACATCTTAGTCCACGATCTCGAGTGATAACCTTTGTATTCCGTCAAAACCCAAATATCAACATGGCTAAACTCCTCATAGCACATCAGACAAAGTAAGCCATCTAACACACCTATATCCATATTATCTTCACAATAAAGATCCCGTGGGAAACTAACGACTCCAAGCTCCTCAGAGGCAAGATCAAATCTCACAATTGTGTTAAAGGCGACATCTCCTTGACTTCGAGGCAAAATCCAGTGAAGGCTATTGCTAGCTAGAACACCATTTCCACGACGATACAAGAGATGATAATAAGGGTTAATGAAAAGAATCAGAACCTCAAAACGAAGATGGATTTCCTTCCATGAATTCCTCTTCAAGCTGAAAACTTTGATTTCAAAAGGTACAGGAAATCTTTTCTTGCTTCGATCGACCTTGGACTGAACCATCCTCACAACCTTGTAATCATTGTTCACCGAATCATACCCTAATCCGTAGAACACATCCTCGAGAGTGATCTTAACTGTTAAATCAATCGGCTCAGCCGGTAACCGGTGGATTTTCCGGGTAGATGGATTGAAAATCGCTATATCGACCGGAGAGTTAATCAAACCGACCAAACCGTTACAGGAACCGAAAACCTCTGTTAAACCACCGGCTTGCAGAGGATGCTCGACGTCGGAGACTTTATCCGGTGAGTCGAGGTACACAGTACGCAGAATGCGAGGGCCACGGAGTAAGATCATGAGGTTGTCTCCGGTTTCGAGTGTGCGCTTGAGTTGAGACGCGACGAACTCAGGACTGTCGATTAGAGAGAAGCAAGGCTTCGAGAGGACGCGAAATCGGACCAATGTACTCGCCGGAAGCCGGTGGAACATATCGTCGACGATATCCATCGGAATATTCGCCATCGGAAACTA